GCGATACCGAGTACTCGGTATTCGATACCAGCGATACCACAAACAGCGGTATCGGTATCGATTACTGACGTGGTATCGTTCGATACTTGCACCCTTTTTTAAACTACTTATTTAATTTCACTTCTTGGTTGAATAAGACTTGATGAACCACTAAAATAACTCTTAATATTCCAAATTCCGTGCGCCAAGTCAGGTATAGAAAATATTTATTCCGTTTAGTGCTTTTGGTTTATTTATAGCTTTATTTAGGTTACATACAGTAATGCAAAATGTTTTTCCGCTGACCGTCAGGTATCGAAAGTAGACGATACTAGCAATTTAAGTACTCACTTCCGGTATCGAAAATTGAAATTTTGTGTATATTTTGGTATCGAAATAGGTATCGGTATCGGCCGATACCGATCTTAAAAGTATCGGTATCGAATTGAAAATCTTGGTATCGCCCATCACTAGTCTTGTCTAAATTTGAATCCGCTAAAAGCTCTACGATAAAGTCACAATCCGGGATCGGAACTGAATTGCAAGCTAAATCAACAATCCGAGCCAAAATATTACATAAATCTGCAATCCACTATATTAATAAGATCCACAAATCTGTGTAAAATATTTGCCAGATCTGAACAATTTTTTCTGTGAAATCCGAAAACCTATTCACCCCCCCCCATGCCCCCATTAACCTATAAGCCAGATGTTATCACAGAACTAATTTACATATCTGCCATAATGTTAGCAATGTATCTTGTTTAACAAGAATTTTATTTATTGGGTTAATAACCCATAACAATGATATTGGGTTAATAACCCATGCAAGATTAATGTTTTGCCCGACAAAAGGGTGTGGTAGGAAGAGAACATAAAGATGTCATGGGAAAAATTTTAATATTGATGAGGATGTGCAGGAGTATCATCCGAGGCACATTCCTCATCCTTGTTGCTTTTCCCAGTGGATTAATGGTCCTATGGACCAAGAGACAATGCTGTGTCGGCACAAGTATTGAGTGCCAAAGGCGCAAGATGCCTAGGGGATATGGGAGCATGCTCCCACAGAAATGCTTGAAATTTAGAGTCTTTGAAATGTCATATTTCATGCATTTTTTGTAATGTCATGCAATGTCATATTTCATGCAAATTTTCCAAACAACACTAATTTGACCACACAATTTACTGAAATTCCGACAAAATTTACAGAATTTGTCCCATTTATTTTTATAACAAACCAAAATTGCCCGACTGTTGATCGAATATTGCCCGACTGCCCAACAAACTGGGGGGGCTTCCCCCCCCCCCCCCCCCCCCCCCCCCCCCC